AACAAAGTACAAATGTTACATATTGATTAAAAGTTAAAAGAGATAACATAAGGTTCTTTAACCACATAAAAATGCGGGCGTCAAACTGTCAATTGCAACTTTAGAGTGCAGTATAGCCTTAAAACCTAAACAAGTAAATCATTGTATACGTATTAGGATACAAATCATAACTCAGTGCTTGAAATTACATTACTAAATCATGCATACCACAAATAAAAAAGTTATTTTTATAAGAAAGCTTCTAGCGACGTTGAAATTGTTTTAATAAAATACTCATGGTCAATTGCAATAGTTACTAAAAACGAAAGATATTAACCTAAGCTACTTAACTAGGGGCACTAATTTAAAGTATAACTACATAGGAGATAACTTTATATACATACTACATTGTGTACAATGTAGCTCTAAGGCTGAGTAACTAAATACGTAAAGGCAGTCATACAAAATTTTGCCTGAGTAAACCTCAAGATATGTACTGCCGTTATGGTTAAGATATATAGTTAAACTCTCCTTTGTAATGAAATCAAAACTGTTAAATTGTGTGAATTAAACACGAGGACTTTCGTTACGCAGTTTCATGAATAAAGTCAGCTAATCAGACATCTATTTTAGCTACCGAAATGTAACATACAAACGTTTGTCATATAAAACCAACTCCGAAACCAATGAAACAACTAATTGTTTCAGTAATTTCTAGAACAATAAAATCCAGCAGTATGCCAGAAGTTTCAGGGTGGTTTTCTAGCTGTACTTCAATGTTAAAGCACGATAACTTTCATCTCAATAGGTATTGGGCTTTGATTTCACGAACCTCGCCTAGACTACTAGCTTGCTAGGTTTCTAGCCGGTTCAAAGCCCGGATAAAGAGGGAGGGTTGGAGCGTGTTGCTAGCAACTCCATCCCCAAAACTCAACCAGACCGCTACAGAAACTTCAATGCACCAATATATTAAAAATTCTAAAAATATAAACAAACCTCATTTTTCGCTGGAATCGGAGAAGCGAAATGAGTAGGCTGGTGAAAGCCTTCGGGAAGCCAGTCAGCCGATGTGCCTTCTTTCGATGAAAGCAAAAGTAAGGATGGGTACCTGGAATGTTCGTACAATGTACGAAACTGGAAAGGCTGCCCAGATAGCCGCTGAAATGAGAAGGTACAGAATAGAAGTGTTGGGAATCTGCGAGAGCAGATGGAACGGAACTGGAAGGTGCCAACTACCTACTGGAGAGACAGTAATCTATTCCGGCCACCCAGAGGACAACCACGAGCACACCGAGGGAGTGGCCATCATGATGTCACCAACAGCAGCCAAAGCTCTCATGCAGTGGGAACCAATCTCCTCCAGGATAATGACAGCCAGGTTCAACTCAAAAGGAAGGAAAGTTACAGTCATTCAATGCTATGCGCCTACAAACGTCTCAGAACAAGAGAAGAAGGAGGCGTTCTACAGACAACTACAAGCAATAATGGACAACGTCCCAAATGGCGATATCAAAATCCTGATGGGCGACATGAATGCGAAGCTGGGAGGAGACAACACAGGAAGAGAACTCACCATGGGTCGTGAGGCCCTCGGTGAAATGAACGACAATGGTGAACTCTTCTCAGACTTCTGCGCCTTCAATGATTTGGTGATTGGTGGCAGTGTGTTCAAACACAAGGATATACACAAGACGACATGGATTTCACCAGATGGAAACACCAAGAACCAAATAGACTTCATCTCAATTTCAAGAAAGTGGAGACGGAGCCTACTGGACACAAGGTCAAGGAGAGGAGCAGATGTGGGTTCAGACCACTATCTAGTAAAGGGACTTTCAAGGTGAAACTAAAAGCCTCGAGGATAGCTGGGGATAGGCCACAATGCAAGTTCAACACTCAGAAACTGAAGGACACAACCACAAAAGACACTTTCACTGCAACTGTCAGAGCAAAGCAGGAAACACTACGCGACATCACTGAAGAATCATGCGTGGAAGAACATTGGAAGTCTCTGAAGGCGATTCTCAACGAAACGTGTTCAACGGTTCTAGGAAGAAAGAAGAGACAAGACAAGGAATGGCTCTCAACGGACACTTGGAAATTAATAGAAGAGAGGAGAATGGTGAAAGAGAAAATGATTCAATGCAAGGACGGACAGGAGAAGGAGATGCTGAGCTCAACTTACAAAGCACTGGACAAAGAAGTGAAGAAGAGTGCTAGGAAGGACAAAAGACGATTCTACGACAACCCGCCACTGAAGCTGAGAAGGCAGCAGGCAAAAGGGACCTGAGGACACTATATCAGATAACCAAATCTCTATCCGGGAAGAGATCAACACAAGCGAAACCTATAAAAGACAGCCAAGGGAACCCAATTACCAAGGAAGAAAAACAGATTAAACAATGGGCGGATCACTTCAAAGGACTCTTGAACCGACCATCACCTGCAACCCGTCCAGAAATACCAACAACAGCACGCACACAACTGCAAGTTGACACCAATCCTCCAACGAGAGCTGAAGTCTTGAACGCAATCAAGCTTCTGAAAGCTGGAAAAGCAGCCGGACCAGATGGAATACCCCCTGAAGCACTGAAAGCGGACCCAGAGACGACAGCAGACATGCTGACTCCATTATTGCAAAAGGTCTGGAAGGAGGGAAAGGTGCCTACTGACTGGAGGAAAGGTTACCTCGTGAAACTACCAAAGAAGGGCGACTTAGGACTCTGCAAGAACTGGCGAGGAATCATGCTCCTATCGACGCCAAGTAAAATCCTGAGTCGCATCATCCTGGAGAGATTAAAGGACGCACTGGAGACAGAACTCCGACCAGAACAAGCTGGATTCAGGAAAGGCAAATCATGTACTGACCAAATTGCAACTCTACGCATCATCATCACAGAACAAAGCATGGAATGGCAATCAAACCTCTACCTCAACTTTATAGACTTTGAGAAGGCCTTCGACAGCGTTGATCGTGAAGTAATTTGGAAATTACTCGAGTACTATGGCGTACCCCAAATATTCATCAACCTTATTCAACAGCTGTACGACAACGGCACATGTCAAGTGATCCACAACGGAAAACTCAGCGAGGCGTTTGGAGTAAACACAGGAGTCAGACAAGGGTGCTTATTATCACCAATGATATTCCTAATTGTGGTGGACTGGATTATGCGTCAGACAGTGAGTGGGAAACGAGAAGACAGGGATATCCTGGACCGACGTGAAGAACCTAGAAGACCTGGATTTCGCGGATGATTTATGTTTGATGTCACACACAATCGAAGACTTACAAGCGAAAACCGACAAACTGGTCGAAGAAGCAGCCGGCGAAGACAGGACTCCAGGTGAACATAGACAAGACGGAGGTTATGAAAATAACCAACCAACAACAACAGCAGCAGCAACATCCAGCGTCAATCACCATCAACGGGAGGGATTTGAAAGAGGTTACTTCATTCACTTATCTAGGGAGCATTGTCTCAACTACAGTCGGAACGGACGAGGATGTCAAATCGAGCGAGAATCGGGAAGGCGAGAAACACATTCATCAACCTGAAATCAATCTGGAAATCTTCGTCACTCAGCATCAACGAAAAAATTCAGTCGGATTTTCAATACAAACGTCAAGTCAGTCAGTTCTTCTATACGGATCAGAAACTTGGCGGGTCACAAAGAATATTTCCAAAAGGTTGCAGACCTTTATTAACAACTGTCTTCGCTCCATACTGAAGATCAGATGGCCGGCCGGAAAGAATCACCAACAAGGAATTATGGGAACAAACAAAGCAAGAACCAATCGCCCAACAAATATGCAGGAGAAAGTGGAGATGCATCGGACACTCGCTGGGTGACGTCGCGCGTCAAGCTCTCGAGTGGAACCCGAAAGGGAAGCGGCGAGTGGGACGTCGGTGCAAGGGTGACATGGAGGAGATCGTGTGAAGAGACAGGAGTTGAAAGAGTATGGACTAACATGGATGCAGGTGAAAAGTACAGTAAAAGACATAAGCAAGTGGAGACATGCAGTTGAAGCCCTATGTTCCATTAGGAACCCAAGGGAACAATAATAATAATAATAATTGGATTTCACGAGACTACAATATTTGGCATTTTAGTAGAATCTATTGCAATTTTCCATTAGTAGAATATTCTTTAGGGATTGACTCTTGCAAATAGGACGGTATGGGAAACTATCCAAGCGGCATATCAGTAGATTATACAGATATCCAGAGCTACCAATTCAATCACTCAGTAATTATATATAATAATCCTAAGATGCATATGGCAAGGCAGATTTAATTCTCTCAATCACACTTGTTCCTTAGCTATCTAGTGAGACTGCACTTACAATCCTAATATCATTTCTTGCATTGTTTACCACTGAGTTACACTGGAGAAAAAACTCCAGCACTACAAACTTAACTGTCTATTAGCATCTCGATTTTCGAATTTGATTTGGATCACACGACGTCTAGAGCTTTAGAAGACTGTCTAGCATGTTGCATCTTTAAAATGCCTCAGGAATCAAAGATGCTAGCATTTGTGTGGTTACTTGTAACCATCACAATAATATCTACAGGGGCACCCAGTAAATCCAATGTCGACAGACCACAATGTATGGCACTCAACACATTTCAGAAAGCTGACTATGAAACTGGATTTTACCGACAAGAGGTTTTTATGGAATATTTATGATCAGTACCAACAGAAACTTGGTGCTACCTACCGATCGATTCAATTAGAGTGCACGATTACAAGCGATAAACGATCTGTATGGAGTATACAATAAAGGCTATCTTCCACTTGAAGTTCATCCAGTAAAAGCAGGATTCAAATATATCCCTTTCCCAATAAAAATGTTCTATTACTCATTAATTTCTTGACACATCGAAATGCTTTCCGACAAATCGGTGTATGCAGTTCACAACTAAATTTTGTTGCACTTGTTGATAAAGTATGTACCATTTGTAGAATCAAGTTTAACAAAACCGTTGGACTAGTTCACGTATTTGCATTATCGTCTATCTAAAAGGAAGCGATTATTAAGACAAGTATTTAGTTGTAATATATGTTCTTCATTATTGCAAACTAACATCTCATTTAACCATTACAATAAACACTAGTAATCAAAAATATAACTAATGCATTGATATGTTAATGACGACCATGAGCTTTTCGATCTACAATTTACCAAACCATAACACGTCCTGCACCATTCAGTTTTACCATCTCAGATTCCGTTGTGAACTCTGAAATTCATTTCTAGGACATTTTATTGAAAAGGAGATTTGACGGTTTTATTCAGAGATCAATCTACAGGAAACAGATTTTTATCATTGAATCCTTTTGAGAGAAAAAGAAATCTGACCCACTCTTTATCTTCAAGAGTAAAAAGGATATGCATCAGTGATACAATCATTAATGAACTGGAGAGATTCAGACAAGTCCTAATTAAGAATAGATAGATAACAGGACTCATCGAGGAAAACACGACAGTATAGCAAAAGCCGGAATTAATCTAAGCGATACTGAAGAAACTGAGGTTTATAAGCGTTGAATTTAAGGGTGATACCACAACTGAAATTCTGAAGAACCACTTATCCAGATCGCTGAGGAAATCGTTCCTTTTGGCTGAGCTACTGATCAAATTCTACAATATGTGAAGAACACAGTGCCACTTTACTGGGCGTTTTTAAATTCACTTGCTCCTTTGTACATAGTGCAAATGCATTCCTGAACATTATCCAGCGTGATTATCAAAAGGACAACGCAAATCAATTACTCTCTTCAAACGCCTGGTGAACTCAAGCCAGGCAGCTCCACCGGAGTCCTCTTTTAAAATTATTTACTAAGTAAGACCAAACAGTACAATGGGTGTTATGCTTCGGCACTCACGCATAGCGAAAAAGGTCTGCTCAGTCTCTTATTCTTACGTAGTTTTAAACCTTTTCCTAATTGTTTGCTTCTGTTTTTAGTAATTCATTATTATCAATCTTACATATTCCTTTTCTGCAATTTAATAAGTTTTTTTCATCCTCTTTTTTATTAGTCAAGTGGTCACTCAACCAACTTACTTCTCATTTATTAACAATTTTCATTATATCAAATTTCAAACCCTTAATTCTGTTGTGTCACTGACTTTCAAGTAATGTCTATTTATCTACAGAAACTTAGTAATTGTATGAATTATGTTACGTCTTTTCTATTACTCAATAAAAGACTGTTGTATGTTTTTGGTAAATGTAAATACGACTGTACAACCTTTGAAGATGATTTCGACAATAAAGAAAATCTTCTCAGCTGAATTGTATTTTATTTCCTTTATGACTCGATGGGTATTTTCTGTTTTTAATGAATATGTTCCAAATGTAAGATGATGTTACAGGACTGGACTACATTGACTTCTAGCTTATAGATAGGGAGTGAAGTGGAAGAGCGTGTTGACCACTTCACTTGTTTGGGAAGTTGCATCAGCCAACGCCGAAGGGCTGATCGCTGACGAAACCTCAGCAGCGATACAGGAGTCTCATTTAGCATATACCAATTTACGCCATCTCTGGCGCAGACGAGATATTCGACTGGCTGCGTACTGCTCAGCAGTCCGCACCGCCCTCTTTTATCACTGTGAGTCAGACATGGTCATTGAGGGTGGAAGACATTAAAAGGCTAGCCAGCTGTCTTTGATCATAGGTGTCTGCGTTCTATCTCTCGTGTTAGGTGGTACAATAGGGTGAGCGATATTGAGGTTAGGCGTCGGGTGCTAGGTAAGGAAGGGAAATCAATCGACGAGGTGGTGAAGCTACACCGATTGAGATGGTTTGGCCATGTGTTACACATGCATCCCTAGCCATCGCCTTACTCGACAAAAGAGCAGTGTTAACTGACAACGGATCAGGTTGGAAAAGAGTCAGTGGTGGTCAAACCAAAACATGGATTCGTCAGTCAATGAAATCCACAACAGTTAGTTTAAGCCACATAGGAAGGTGTAGACTTCTGACTCGTTGAGGTCCTCGGGACGGTAAAAACCATGGCTGGAGACAATTGGTGATATGGCCCAAAAGTTCTCAGTGGCGCAGATGCATCCACTCCTTGTGACTTATGATTTCCAATCAAACCATACTGTTCTTCGTTATCTTTTGTCTCATATCCCTGTACTGTCTCTATTTCATTTCTTCTACTTTCTTCTCTTGCTTTGTGTGCTACATAAAGTGTGGCGACTCGAACTGCTGCACATCGGTGCAAAGTTCTATGTTGAAAACAGACAGACAGATATTCCAACTCTTAGACATAACCTTTGTTTTGTATACTCACCAGTAAGCATAACGCAATACCAGTTTTTAACATACAATCATGACTTTTGTGTCTATTAAAGGTACAATCTGAATGCCGACTTAATTAATTACAGACATGAACTTATAAATTCGAACAATAAGACACAGTCTCATAACGTGCGTATCCGACGTTTTCCCAATTGTTTCGACTACTTTATTAATATTTATTCCTCTATTGACGGGAATAAATACTTGCAGCAACTAAAAATATATGCAAGAGAGTTAATTTTATCAGTGTAGAGTCATTTCAACAGGGGTTGCTACACGATCATTGTAATACTACAGTGAAATTGGAAGTCTTGAGGAAAATGTCTATACCATATGGAAAACAGTATGAAAACTGCATTAGCGAACTTCACTACAAGGTAAAGTTTGCAGTGCGGACCATTGACTGAATGTAACGCATATACCTACCTGGCATAGTTTAATAAATCACTAGGTTACTAGCGGGTGTAAGACCGAAAAAAGGGAAAGCTGAGTCTAGGGCTAGCGACACTATCTGGAAAATCAATGCAGTTGCTACGGAAATTTCAAAGAACAGAAAAATATTAAAAAACACTTATTCTCCTATGAAATCAGAGAGACAAAATGACGCGGGCTGGTGATAGTTTTCGGGAAGCCAGTGATCTAATGTATCTACTTTCTATGGAAGCGAAAATAAGTATAGGGACGCGGGTGGTCACACAATTTACGAAGCTGCTGAGGTTGCAGAAGAAATGAGAAAATAGAATGCTAGCATTCTGTTACATTAGACAGAATGGAAGTGGACTCTCGAAATTAACCTGAGTTAATAGTTTATTCTGGTTACCCAGACGAAAACCACGGGTACACTGAGGGAGTGAGTATCATGATACCACCAACAGCATAAAAGGGTATTTATTACCTAGTGAGAACCACTCTCCTCAAGGATAATGATAGTCAGCTTCAACTCAAAAAGTAAGAGAGTTATAAAGTTACGCTCCTACTAAAAGCGCGGATCAGGAGATGGAAGAATCCTACAAACAACAGCAAACAGTTATGGACAAGACACCAAATGGCGATATCAAAATCCTAATGAGTGATATGAATACTAAACTGACAGAATTCAACATAGGAAGCCAACTCACCGTGGGTCGGTAGACTTTTAGCGGAATGCGAAAGAATGGAGAATTCTTCGCGGGCTTCTAAGCCCTCGATGACTTGGTGATAGAAGGCAGCATGTACAAAAACAAGGCCATACATAATAAGACCTGCGTTTCACCAGATGGATACACCAAGAATTAAACAGATTTCAAATCAATCTCAAGAAAGTGGAAATGCAGCTTGCTGGAAACAAAATCGAGGAGAGGAGCAGATGTGGACTGAGAACATTATCTAGTAACAGTAACGTCTAACTTCGAATTGAAAGCCTTCAAAGAAGCTGAAGATAGATCACAATTCAAGTTTAACACCCAAAAACTGAAGGACAAAGCAACCTCCCCTTAAGCTATCACAACAAGGTCGGGAACACTATGTAGCATCACTGAATAACTCAGGGTGGAAAAACGCTGGAACTGTCTGAAAGCGGTGTTGAGGGAAACTTATGAAGGTGTATTGTAAAGGAAGAAGAGGCATGATAAGGAATAGTTATCTATGGTCAGGTAAAAGGCAAAGAACGAGAGGTGGTTGGTGAGACAGATGAACCAATGCAAAGATGGACAATACCAGGAGAAACTTCTAATCGTCCAAAAACACCACTAACAGCCACAGAACTTCCAGCAGACACCAGTCCTCCAGCAAAAGCTGAAGCGTTAAATGTTATAAAGTTACTGAAACAGAAGTAGTAGGAACACAAGGAATTGCTCCTGAAACGCTAAAATTAGATCTACAGACCTCAGACTGTATGCACACACCACCATTGGAGAAAGTTTGGAAGAAAGGAAAAGTACCCGCGGATTGGAAGAAGGGTTACCTTGTCAAACAATCTGAGAAGGGCAGTCCTAGCATTTGCGAAAACCAGCACAGAATCCGGTTGCCCTTCAATTCAGACAAAACATTACATTCTGAAGGGAATACAAAAGTTTCTGGATGCAAAACTCTGCCCCGAACAAGCTGGATTTGAGAAAAACAAGTAATGTATGGAACAAACTGTAATGCAACTCACCATCATAGAAGAGAGCACAGAATAGTAGTTAAAAATTTTTTTCAACTTCATCAATTTTAAGAGGGACATCAATAATGTTTGCCGTGAATTAATTTGGGAGCAGCTTCAAAACTACGGGGTGCTCCAAACCTTTAACAACCTCGTCCAACGACTACAATAATAATGTGAAATGTCATTTGATTCACATCGGAACCATATCATATATCAAAGTTACAATTTGCACGAGTCTTCTGTATTGCGTCACTTTTGCCCGTTTTACTGTCCTACTTCGTCTTCCTTCCATATTTTTATGCTGTTTCGTGAGAATCTCTTCTCTATTAAATCCAACTCTCCGCTATTCAACGTTCTTTCGGATGACACATATTTAAGCGTTTATCTATATACTACTTATGAATCAAGTCAGTAGCACACGTCACGCAAGCACTAATTATTATCAGCGGAAGAAATTTAAGGGGAGTTACCTCATCCACTTATTCAGGCAGCGTCATTTCAACTACAAAGGCACAGATGATGTTGTCAAAAGCGGCATACGAAAAGAAAAATAGACTTTTATTGGCCTGAAAACAGTAGGAAAATCTGTTGAGCTCCGTAAAAACAACCAGACCAAGATTTTAAAACGCTGGTGTCAAATTATCGCTACTGCATAGTTCAGAGACTTGGTGCCTCCCAAAAGGGATTTCCAACAGCCTACTAAATTTTCAGCAACAACTGCCTTTGACTGACACTGAGAATCACATGGCCGGGCGAAAAGTATAAACAACAAGGAACTCCGGCAACAAACCCATCAAGATCCCCACCTGGCCAACAATGTGAATCTGCAAAATCTGCCTTAAAGGTGGATTAAGGGAGACTCCGCAGCTAGCTCTCGACGACTCGTAGGTGTATGGATACCATTTAGTGTTAGGGCAGAAAAATCAATTCTTGACAGGGTTCTGCATCGCCAGAAAGGTGGTTATTTTTATTTTATTTTTTTGATTACAGCTAGATTCCACACCGTGTTTTTGGTACAGGTATGGAATTTTCAGCGTGTGATATCGGTAGCCCAAATTTTGCAGGCCGACCATAGATATCAGGTGTGCGTCGCAGAGAATCAAACTCCGGACTTATGTGCATGATCGGCGAGAGTCCTAACCATTGTGACACCAACGCACAGATAACGGTTAGGCTAGAGCAGTTACCATTCTAGCGCCGACCGCTCACACTGCTGGGGGTCTGCGGGCAAGGTCGTACTGCTGGTAAATAGAGATATAATAGTAGAAAGATGTTTCCCTCAGATGACTAGCTGTACTGTTTGTTCGATTTGTGAAGGAGGGCTTAGAATAGGTCGACCCGACTTGTCTTGACGAGATCAGTAGTAGGAGACAAGACAACTCCAAAAATTACTTCAAACAGGCCGTGTGATCGGCTTCAAGAAGTTACCCTCTAGGCTCTGTTTTCACACAACACTAGTGTCTCTTCTGTTTCAGGTACTCCAAGAAATCCATTTCCAAGCTATGGGCAGCCGGGAAGTAATAACCGCTCACATTCTTCCATAGGCAAACGTTTGTGTAGTTACTTAAATTAATATAACTGAGAATATTTAACGACACTGATGGTCCAAAATAAGATATTAGTAACGATGTGGGGAGCTGGCACATTTAGACAACGGAGTTATTCAGTTCACTAGCCATACTGAATATCAACTCAGTCTAAAAAAATTCACTCATCATTGCACTTAAATGATGCTCGGTAACTGAAAACTTGTGAAGATTCCAACAAAATAAATTTGTTAGTAGTTTTACTTCACCTGATATCTAGGAAGAATGACACCTCTCAACAAACAAAAGCTTCACATTAATCTGTTTATTGAGATACCTCATAGTGAAAAGATACATAGCCAGTATACCACTTAACTGTAGGCTTAAAACTAATATATTTGTGGTCATCTTATCGCTTGCGGTAATATAACTGGTGAAGTGTAGACTTCGGAAAAGGTAAAGTATCGGAGACTAAGTCACGGTTAGTTGAAAGCTCATCCTCAAGAACCAAATGGAACGCTACGAAAAATCACTCCACATCGCAACATGCCTTTATGAGTTTGGGGAGAGTGCAACAGTAAGCCAGTACAGTTTTGAGAGACGAATATTGGTATAAATTCGGTTCATGCTACAAGAGAAAATCCGTTTGTGCGGGTAGGTATAGTATTCCACTTATTAACTACGTACCTTTTTTCTGTTAAGGCTTACGGTTAAAACTAGAGGCAAGTTAAAGAATAGAGTTAGGGATGTCAATGTTAGTCACATGAATGAACACATCTGTTGCTCATGGGCATGATTTCTCTGTAGATTATCCTTGGAGTAACTGGGAGATATTCTTACAACACATAAAGACAACTATTCAATACAAGATCGTGTTTGCAATGCTTTCTAATATATTTTAACGATTATGAGACTTTATTCACTTACATTCTGATTGGCTGTTCACAGTCACTACCATTGTAGCTTTGATTCTTTAACTTCGCCTAGGTCTACGATAGTACTTATGGCGAAAACCCTCAGTACCTGACTTAACGAGGACTAATTTTCTGATGCAAATTTGTGCGACAACACATTCTTGTTTATACAGTAGTGTTGACAACGGATCAAATTTTGGATGTCCTGGATGTTAGAGATATGTCCTTTAAATCAAGAATAAAAGCTCTTGGTCAAAACTAATTTTTCATTTATACTTTGTATGAGGATCGAAGATATTGAACAGTGATCATCTCACAGGAAGAGCACAATTAGATTACTACGTGATGGTTAACGATTTTGAAAATATTAATAATTCTCTAATCTTTCACTAATGTATCCAATTTCAGGTATTAGCGAAAGTCATGGGTCTTAGATAAAGGTTACGCATACTTTCCATTAATACACCTGGATCTACTATATGAGACAGTCACAAAGACTATACTTTTGAAACTACCATCATCAACACATCTGTCTGGTTATATGCACATTGGGGGGGGGGGGGTGGGAAAGTGATGTGGTAGTCTAGTTTGTTAAACGTCAAGTCCCTAGATCTTAACACTGTGTATGCTGCATCACCACATATTGTAATAGGTCATATAATTTGAGGCATGCATTAGTAATTACGTTAGAGGTTAACTGATAAAGATACGGTCGAGTCATGAAAATTCTCCTCGTAAGCTGATTGACAAAAGCTGTGGAAAACAGGACAAAAATGACTACATATATATAACATTTTATCTGGTTGTGGTGCATCAGAATTACTTTTATTTCTTGTTCCTGTACCTTTCTACTCCAAACATGCTACTACGCATACTTCGTCTTTTTTAACACTTTTCATTTAGAACGCATTTATGAAAGTTTGGACCGACACTTCTTTAAACAAAGTTAGTTATCCGTACTTATTTTACAAGCAGAGAGAAAACTTTAACTTTCAACTAAGCAACAAAGACGCAAATCGTAAAAAAACACAATTCACAGAGGATTAAACCACACTACTTGGGTTGAACTCAACCCACCCTACTTGACGTTGCGAATATGGAAATCCCCATTTCTGTTTAACTTCATCATAGATATGCTAATGGAAGTATCCTTAACTGAACGTAGTGACTTAGGAATCGACTTGTTACCAGGGAATAATCTAATGGACTTAGAATATGCAGATGACATAGTCCTGTTAGGGGAGGATGCTGACAAAATGCAGTCTTCTGAACACCTTGAGCAGCAATCTTCGTATGTTTGGCATGCGATTCGCCCCTACAAAATGTAAGATGCTGCTACAGGACTGGACCACGTCAACTCCTAACTTAATGATAGGGAGTGAGGTGATAGAACATGTTGACCACTTCACCTACTTGGGAAGTTGTATTAGCACCAACGGACTGATTGGCGATGAAATCTCAGCACGGATCCAAAAAGCTCGAGCTGCTTTCGCTGACTTACACCATCCCTGGCGTAGGCGTGACATCCGGTTATCAACCAAGGGACGTGTGTACAGCTCAGCAGTTCGCTCCGTCCTTCTCTATGGCTCTGAAACATGGCCAATACGCGTTGAAGACATGAAAAGGTTGACTGCTTTCGATCATAGATGTCTGCGATCTCTGTCTCACGTTAGGTGGTTTAATAAGATAAGTAATGTTGACGTTAGGCGTAGAGTGTTGGGCAAAGAGGGAAAATCAATCGATGAGGCTATAAGGTTACATAGACTAAGATGGCTAGGTCACGTGCTGCGCATGCCTAACCACCGCCTCCCCCGACGGGCTTTGCTAGCTGATATAGGTTCAGGTTGGAAAAGAGCCAGTGGTGGCCAAACAAAAACATGGCATCAATCCATGAAATCCTTGACAGTTAAACTGAGTCAGGTAGGGAGATGCAGACTCCCGGGTTGGGGCCCACGGGACTCTAGGAATCAACGGCTGGAGACAGTTGGTGACATGGCTCAAAATCGTTGTCAATGGCGCAGATGTATTCAGTCTCTGTAATCTTTCATATTCCTTTCTACAATTAACCATTCTGTTTCACTCTTATATTTGTCAAACTCTATTGATTCTCTTCACTCATCTTCTTGTCTACCTTGTGTGCCAATTGGAACGTGGCAACTCGAACTGCTGCACTTCGATGCCAAGTTCTATGTTGAATCCAGACAGACAGACATATGGAAATCTAAGGGAGATTATGTTCCACTAATTACATAACTCGATTTTATCAAGAGATACATTTGAAGATCAGCACTAAATAAAAACCAGTTCTCTTACTTTATTTCCAGAGCCGGACAGACTGTCTATATTCCTTGACTTATTTTGACGACAAGATCAGAGATATAGCTTACTGGATTAGGCGGTCAACGTTTCATCATTGGATTACATATTTAAACCTCATTTTAGCCTCTGTTAAACAATTTATCTCTAAACACCGGTTACATTACCGAGATACAAACGTAAATGCCATATTTCATACAACATTTTCAGTTTAAGAGAACACGAAGGTAGTTAATGAACACTTTGACATGTAAAATGATAACAAGGAAATATCAGTTTTAAATACAACCACAACCACTAGACAATTTTAGATTCTGACCACCTGTAATGTAAAACACAGGAAATTATTGAGACAATCATTATGCCTTTACATTTCGAAAGATTGGGGTAACAAAAAACAGTATGCCACTCCTCTGAGGCTAAATAACTTCTACGTCACGTATTTAAAAAATCATGAAACTGAAATCCACACAATCACCACTACCTTAGTATGTCAAATGTCAGTGTCAAAAAGACTGCTAGAATTTTAACAAAAACCGACCTGGTTATTACAAGTAACCTGCTGTGTGGTGAACAATACTAATTTGCTTACATAGACCAACATAATCTGTAGGCGCTAACGCTACATAATTATTCTTTATTCTACATATTATGAGTAATCGATCTAGCACTCTTCAGATGAGACCAGTAGAAATTAGATTAAAAATATGAAAGGCACCAGAGAAGATATCTTTTAATAATTGTGCATTTACTCATTGAAGGCATTTAAGTCAAATACAGAAAAGATGAAGTCTGATGTTGTGAACTCACGAAGCTTCACCATTTACAAGGGGTTCACTTGACTCAGTATTATCAGGAGTATCAGGGTTTTCACTACTCGGTGTTTGCTCATCAGAATTTTTGTTGATCTATAAATCAGTGGTTACAACAAGATAGTTACCTTAACATTGGATAAGTCTTCAGTTAATCCATTGATGATATCCCTGAAGCGAGTGAGCGAACGGCCTGGAATAGTTATAGCAGTCCTCGACGCAGTCCGGACTTCCGAAATACGCAGATATGCTCCAAAACGGTTGAAAGAAGAGTCGAAGTATAAAGTTCGATTGTCAAACCTTAGGGACTTGGACTCTGGTAAGTTGATAGCTTCAAGGAAATTTAAATAAGGTGAAAATTGAAAACATACATTTGTTTTCATTAGCTTCTGAACCGTCCCACCATTTGTCCAACATATCACTGATAGCATTGTATAGATCCGTCATACCTTGGGACGGAATAGCTAGTTGTATTCTGTTCAAGGTGGACAGCATCGTCAACCTAAGGAAATGTCCTCTTTTGTTACGTTTAAGATCGAGGAAATAACGCCGGTAAGGATAATTAACTATGTGAGATTTAATTAGACTGTTTGTAGCCTGTGCGTCTGGAGTTTTGCTTTCATCTGAGTTTTGTGCCCCGGAGCTTTCTTCCTCACTTGTCCTTATCTCCTTAAGAACATCGATAAGATCTTTCAGCTTATCTTTGATTTCAACTGCAGCCTGTAATGTTAACAGAATTCTAGCTTTCCGACCGTCAGAACCAACCTATACTATCATAGAGTTCAAAAAAGTAACAAACTTCAGCAATTTTCATGAAGATACCCCTTCTATTTCTCTTTACATCTACATAAAAACGCTTTTTTTGCACTTGTAACGCCACGCTTGCCAAATCTTCCTCTTCCTGAATATCACCTAATTTCGTAGCACCAATAAAATCTGAACTTACGCCTCTGCGGTAAAGGCCCGGCTAAATACGGCATTATAGGGAAGTGAGGATTTGGGGGTGGTCTGTACAAAAGAGGATTCATCTAACGAACAGAGTGTTAGATACATAAATAATGGTAAATAAGTAGCTCACTGTCGCTCTTATGATCGAAGGCCGTTAGCACGCCTAAATTGACAACAATTTCGTACAGCCCGGTGGTGTACAATTGACGTGGTAAAAGGTTAAACAGCGGAGACCTTGAACCCGAACAATCGCTCGCTCTTTGTTCGAGCTCCACAAATAGTGATTAGTCTATACTGGAACTATATGCTTTGAACTCTTGAACATCCACCATCCTTTTGAAGATTTAGTATAAATCACATCGATTTCAACCGGAATTTTTGTATATGTGTAGAACTTGGGCACTGTGGTAGTAAGTAATTCCATAATAGTTTGTTTATTAGATATATCACTCATAAAAAAACAGTATTATTTACTGGATGACGTTTCGAACACACCTTGCTACTGTTCATAATCATATCAATTGTAATCAAACGGCTTTGAAACTTGAGCTTTATGGTTTTCTTTGCCTTCTCGTATATGTCGTAGGGGTAGTAGAATTTTCCAGATATCTGCGACAGGTGCTGAATCATTCCTATTACATGTATTTGCAGTTGATTCCATAAACAAAGCTTCTGGTATTAATCTCTCCTTCTACCCTGTGATAGTAGATTTAAAAACTGTCATCCTATCCCATCCCACGGTCGTATGGTTGTGTGTAACTGCATGTAGTTCTATAGCTGAACTATCCTCTAGATTTCTTATCCTTGTTGGGTCAACCAATCTAGATTTAGCTAGGTGTTTACTGTTCGGTTAGTCTGACCGCCCCTGTTCTACTAAGTTGACCTATGTATTTGACTTGACAGGCATTACAAGGTATTAGATAAACTAAATTGTTTTGTTTCAAGGGCTCCAAAGGATCCTTTAGCCGACAAAGTTTGTTTCTAATTGAGTTTGTCGGTTTGAATGCTAGCCACTTTTATTCCTGCCCTGTTAAGAATTCTGCGTAAGGCTTCCGAGGTTCCTTCTTTGTATGGAATTACTACTGATGGTTTAGATTCCTAATTGTTTGTGTCGTCATTAATATTATTATTATTAATATTACCATTATTGCCTTCTATGGGCTTCTACCTAGTTCCTTCCTCCGTTTTCTTGATATAGCTCTGATATGCCTTGGTGAGCCATAGATTATAAAGGACAGTTTATGAAATGAGCAGACAAACAGATAACTCTCGCTATTCCCTCATTTATACACAAGATCTTCAATGAGACTGAATATAATTGTGTTAAGATGAGTGTCATGATGGTGGATGCTGGATGACCAACTCTATTACTGAGTAATAGTGGTGCGGTGAACAACTATGAACATATACCGAAATTAGTACGTAAGCAGGTGTCGTGTAGTCTACTGTGCACGTGTTCATAAACCAAAATAGTCTATACCTAGGGTTTGGTTAATTAGTGTGGAAAACAAATAAACGTAAAGTCACCCTATGCTAGACAAATGCCCATTATCTAATAATAAAAAATCAACAGTAGCTTAGTAAAAAATGAGGTGATAACGAGGATCAAAAGTGAGTTCTACTCTACACTGAGGCATTGAGGTGGAAACATACGATAAGTTGCTTGGCGAGCTGGACTAGTATTTATACACAATTTATGAATATGTGAAATTCCTTTGTTTTAAGGTCTCAGAAATGTTACTTTGTGCAACGAATATGTATATGTCAAGCTAAATCTAAGTGAAAACCATTTACCAAAAGTAAACAAGATACATTTATTTGTGGCACTACCAAATGTTTGTGGAAGTTGCAGTGAGGGCGTCTTTTACTTCAGTCTTACATTTAAAGCTCTTTGTATCTCTAGCATTATTTTACGTGGGTTCTTAAGATAATTATTCACCAAGTAACTTGAGATAATTGCGACCGGTTGGGAACTTACACCTGAATCTCTCACAACAGTCGGCCAATATACCAAAAGCTAACTTTTATTTCCCAAAAGAAGTTTAATCAAGGGAAGCAGCAGATTAGTGTATATAGAGTTGTAAGCTAAACACGTTACTACCACAACATTGCTACAGCCCCACTTGCATTCCATGAAGATGATTTTATTCACATAATCTTAAATGATACGTTATTTTTCCGGATTTGTTTCTTCCCTTGAACAATACCCTGATAAGGGACTTGATCATTGAGAGGAACAAGGGTACGTTTTTTGTACTTGTAGTTCCTCTGTGTTAACTTTAAATGAAGGCTTACGGAACTAATCAGCGCACTCATATTATACTTTTACAGAAAATAATTTTATGTGTGCTTACCGAATATTTGTCACTGTATAAATGAAGATTAGTCTTCAATTGTTCTAAGTGCACACTGTGGCGCCACGCACGCTTGCGTTTTTCTCGCGTACTTTGGAGTTCGGCTGTGCTCACAATATATTATCTCAAGTTTTCACTTGTGCCTTTCAATAAATCTTCTTTGGTATTTGGTTATATGCGGCTTTTATCACATTGTAGAACATGAAGATATGAGTATGTGGCAGCATATTGATTGGAGTCGGACATTGTAAGCAGTACACCAACATTACTTCGTGTTTGTTATCAGGAGTGCTGATTCGACCACCATTGCAATATTCTGTTGTCGTCGTTTCAACCAAACCTCTTCATTTGTCTAGGCATCCATATGCCTACGCGACAACTACGCCACCACCACCATGAATGCATATGTTATTTGAATGTTGGTTGCTGTTTGAATGGGAAGACGTAGTGCAAGGTTCTTTGTGCCAAGTCGAAAAAGCAAAGAACTGGGGTTGTGAGAGGCGAAATCTTTATTAGAAAATGGGTATCAATGCTCCTTGCCCATGTGGATTCTAAAGTTTGGCAATATTCATTCTGAAGACGTTCCAGATTATCTCTATGATTCAAGCAAAACTCACTATATTCTTGATTATCATCAACCTTTCTTTTCTATGCTGAGCAACTAAATTCTCGTCGTAACCTACCATTAATTCTTTCTGTTCATAACTTGCGAAAACCTTTAGCTAGTTCTTACATTATATACTTGGAACTTCTGTACACTGTTGATTAACATCTTCCTCTGTTAACAAAACCATGTTAGGCCTTGCAATTTTGCCGAAGTTATGCATACATTTTCACAGTCAGCTTTCTGTTTTTTGTTTTTGATTTTAAAACACGTATATGGATGTTAGCGATAGGTAACTATTCATATGAAACATATGTGCTTATATTTGCGGTACAGTTAGAGAAGAGACGTACTCTAGGAACATGAAAAGTGAAGGAGCATTTTAAATAATTTTCGTACACATTATTTACCTTAATGACTTCAAATTCCAACCCAATCTGTTCTCAAAATCAGCATGTGTTTTCACGCCTTGAGACTGCGTCCACCTGAAATACAACTAACTTTAATTCAGTATGTCGGTCAGACACAGGTTCCTCTACTAAGTGTTTAATGACATTCAAACTTAATAAGTAAAAGTGATAAATTTTGGTGGATAATAGGTAAATAACGGCCCATGATACTAATGTGGTAACTTTCTTTAATTGTTAGACATAAAGTGTAATATTATAGAGTCCCGCTATAATAGTTGATCATAATGTTTATTTCATATAAACGGGTAAGTTTACAAGAAGTGCATGCCGCGTTTTCAGGCACAATCGGTTATGTTGAGAATTACAATCGTGAAGTATCATAGATTATTACTTTTTCAAAAGCTTAAATTGTTTGAAAATTGTACAGGCAGTCAGAACAGGTTCTCATTAATGTTAAATTGTAAACACCCCACTGAGGTCACCATCGAAGTTAATCGCCAACCCAAAATTCGTTCCGTTTCCCGCTGATGGCCATTGTCAGACAGTGAACCGTGTATATTTGAGTAAATGCTATGTCGCCACTTGATTAAAAGCGGCAATTCGAAGGTTAGGTTACTTCAGGATGATATTCCTCAATTCATATTTTCTCTACAGGAAACTATTCAAAAGATCATATTCTTTCCTAAAACATAGCTTCTCCTGCTAGAATTATTTGTTATACTTGGTGCCTAATTAAGTAATACTGTTAGCGCGTTTTGCATATAAAGCATGTCAATGTAGTTGAAGATTGAACGATCAATTCATGGTTGTTCGCTCAAACCCAACTCCTCCATATTTTTTGCGGAAGTCATCAATACGGCGGTCATCGTCTCATCGTACACTGTTCGTTGGAAGAGAGAAAACTACCAGAAGTATTATTGTGATTTATTGTTATAACATTTATTCTTAGACTTTGTGTACAATAACCTAATGGTTAGCTCTGTACTGGTGCAAGAATAAAGGGTTCCTGAGTCACCAATTTGCGTTCTGGTTTTCCGTGTTAGTTATTACGCGTAGTTCCTAAAAGACTTCGGAGAACAGCGTGAGCCCCAGTGTAGTAAGGGCTGGACATCGACAGTTTCTGATAGTCTCTGTTCGTATTTCCTCGTGTCCACCCGTCTTCTTTGGACAAGTATTATCTCGAACTTTTCTGGATTGTTTTGGTCAAGTTGAGTAATGCCTGAGTCAAAGAAAGGACAAAGCGTCATGGAAGCAGACAGGAAAGTGAGTAATGCTGAGTTGCCTGTTATATGTAATAATTTGTGTGATGCTAAGCATAATGAGATTGATGTCCATGTTTTGCCGTCTAGGGATAATAGAAACTTTTAAACTCCTAAATATGAAATTCGGTGCTTCGACGGAAACCCAGCTGACTATCCGCAATTTGTAAACGAGTTTGAGGTCATGTTGGGTGGGTTTGAAATAAATCATGAAATGAGTTTAATGCATTTGCTGAGGTAATGCACTGGTGTTGCTTCATGAGCTACTATTTCAATTATCATTCTGTCTTTTGTATAACTTAGTAACATGGCGTTTACTTTAGGACTCAAATTAATAAGTGAATCTTAATATCCCTAAGATTAAATTGTCGCCAATGTAAATAAATATATTCATATCTAGGAAATACTTAGGTTTGGAGTTGTTTTTTTTACTATCACAACCCCAGATAACTC